AATATTGATATTAACTATTTCAGGCCAGGCACAGTGGCTCACACCTGTAATTCTAGCACTTTGGGAGGCCACGGCAGGTGGATTGCTTGAACCCAGGAGTTTGAGACCAGCCTGGGCCACATGGCAAAACCACATCTCTACAAAAATTAGCCAGGCATGGTAGTGGGTGCCTGTAGTCCCAGCTACTCAGGAGGCTGAGGTAGGAGGATCATCTGAGCCCAGGAAGTCGAGACTGCAGTGAGCCGTGATCGTGCTACCGCACTCCAGCCTGGGTGACAGAGTGAGATCCTGTCTCAAACAAACAAAAAGTAACTATTTCAAATATATAAACTTTTTGTCTCTTGTTGGAATGCAATAAATTTTTTTTTTCTGCAATAGCAAAGTTATAGGCCTTGTTTTGTGCCTAGTTTTAATGGAAAGAATTATTTTCCGTATGATGTATCTCTGGGTATATTCTTGATATATTAATTCTTCTGGCCAAATTTTAAAAAATCTTGCTTCTGCAACAGCATCCTTTCTCAGTGATCACTGTTTGTCTTTAGGAGATCCTCCCTGGTTGAAATTTCTCTTTTCCAGTTTATTGGGGTTTCTAGGGATCGAACATTGAACTGCTCACCCCATCTATACATATCACTCCCTTGGAGAGTTTATTCAATCTCATTGTTTTAATTAACATCTGTATGCTGATGGCTTCAAGTTATATCTCTGTCCTGGACTTTACCCCTGAAAGGTAGACTCAGTTATTCATTTTCCTCTACAACATATTAACGTGGCTGTTCAAAACAGTGTTTAACCAAAGTATGTATAACATGGACACTCCTATATTCCTTTCCCACTCCAAACCTCCACCTTTAGCCTTCCCTATGGGAATGTCACAAAGATATTCTGTCCTTCCCTATGGGAATGTCACAAAGATATTCTGTCCTACGTATTTCTCTTAAAAAGTTACAGTCTTGCCTTTTACATATCTAAATAAGATCTATGTAACATAATAATAGATCTATGTAACATAAAAGTTACCATCTTAACCATTTTAAGTGTACAATTCAGTAGTGTTTAGTACATTTACATTGGCATGTAACAGAACTCTTCATCTGTACATTGTGAACAGAACTCTTCATTTACAACTCTTTACAGTTGTAAAACTGTAACTCTATAGCTGTTAAACAACTTTGCAGCCACAATGTGATAATGCTGGCTGCTCAGACTTTCAATTTTTTTAAATTTTTGTGAGTACATAGTGGGTGTATATATTTATGGGGTCCCTGAGATATTTTGATACAGGCATGCAGTGCATAATAGTCGCAATAATAGTCGCACCATGGAGAATGGGATATCCATCTCCTCAAGCATGTATCCTTTGCAGTATGAAGAATCTGATTATACTCTTCATTATTTTAAAATGTACAATTAAGTTATGACTGACTATAGACACCCTGTTGTGCTATTAAATAGTAAGTCTTATTCATTCTATTTTTTTTGTACCTGATAACCATCCCCATCGCCCCCCTACTACCTTTCCCAGCTTCTGGTAACCATCCTTCTACTCTCTGTGTCCATGAGTTCAATTGTTTTGATTTTTAGATCCCACAAATAAGTGAGACCATGTGATGTTTGTCTTTCTATGCATGGCTTATTTCACTTCGCATAATGGCCTCTAGCTCCATCCCCGTTGCTGCAAATGACAGGATCTCATTACGTTTTATGGCTGAATAGTACTCCGTGTGTATAAGTACCACATTTTCTTTATCCATTCATCTGATGATGGACACTTAGGTTGCTTCCAAATCTTAGCTATTGTTAACAGTTCTGCAACAAACATGCCAGTCTAGATATCTCTTCAATATACTGATTTCCTTTTTTTTGGGTATATATGCTGCTCAGAATTTTTGATGTCAGGACTTCCTTTAGACTATTAAAAATATTGAATTATGAAGAGCTTTTATTTATATGGCTTTTATCCTTCCATATTACCACATTAGAAATTAAAAGTGAGATGAGATCACTTGGACACAGGAAGGGGAACATCACACACTGGGGCCTATTGTGGGGTGGGGGGATGGGGGAGGGATAGCATTAGGAGATATACCTAATGTAAATGACGAGTTAATGGGCGCAGCACACCAACATGGCACATGTATACATATGTAACAAACCTGCACATTGTGCACATGTACCCTAGAACCTAAAGTATAAAAAAAAAAATTAAAAGTGAGTTAAAAATATTTATTAAGTAATTAAAAATAAGTAATAAACCCAACAGGTGTTAACATAAAATAGTGAACATTTAGTGAAAAATTGCTGTTTTCCAAAAAAAAGAGTGACATTGTTTTATATTCGCATTTTTGCAAGTCTCTTGTCTGGCTAACTAGAAGACAATTGAATTATCATATCTGCTTCTGCATTCAGTCTTTGTAATACGTCACTTTGGTTAATGTACATAAAGAAAACCCTGCCTCACACAGATACGTGGTTGGAAGAAAGAAGAGTATTTTAAAAGCCTTTTCAGATAATTGTGGCTATTTTTTTTTTTTTTTTGATACTGCGCCAAAACTTGCCAAGGGGCAGTATCTTCAAGGTTTGTTGCAACATGGGATCTGAAAATATATCAATAAACTCTTCATACTTATTCCCATTAAAATCCACTGGTCCCTGTTGTGCTTTGCCCTGAATGTTTCTGTAACATCATGTGCAGATAATTTGGAAAGTTTTAGTTCAGAGTTATGCAGATGTTTTAAACGATGACATTTTATTATGCAATACAAGAAATCATAGTTAAGATATCACCACTGGGCTTCCAAGCTCACAGTAGAGAACACAACTTTTTCAAAATTCAAATTTTTCCTTTAAGCTTGAATTTCATCACTGGGTTTAATTGTTGTTAGTTGTTTTCTTTGAAGTGACAAGCTTACATCATTCCATTTCAAAAAATGTCAAATACCCACAGGCAAATAATCGTTGTTTGTTTGATAGTCAGTCTTTAAGTAAAGATGGTGTTCTGGGTTACAAGCGGCTAGTTCAGCTCACAGCTCCAATAACTGCAGAGTTTCCTTGAGACACTCTTCATACTTTGATATGCAGCAGAAGTGTATTATGCATACTTTCTATTTTATCACTCTGAATACTAAAAAGGTATGCATTCAAGGGTTGGCGTTTAATAAAACAAATACTTTTTACTGCTCCAAGACTTAAGTGAAACTGGCTTTTCCCCTTTACTGTGAGTGTGTGAAGACTACAATGATGACTAACAAACCAACACATTGTGCCACTACCTTGATTGCTGCTCAAGAGGCAGCAGCGTCTCCCACCACTTTTTTTTGCACACCTGTGCGAATGTCAACATTGCGAAAAAGAAAATGTGTTATTGTTATTGTGAAAATAGATTTGACCCCATGGACCCCTCCATCATCTCAGGTCCAATTATTGAGAACCACTGTAGTAGAAGAATGTCCTTATTTATTGGATAATATACTTCAAAATATTTAGGGTCAAGGGAACATCTTATCAGTAACCTACTCTCAAAAGGTTCAGGAAAAATAAAGTTTTTTGTACTATAGTTGCAACATTTCCCTAAGTTATCAACTGTTTTAAAATATTTGTTTTATCTCTGCTTTATCTCCATCTATTTTACATTAAAGTTATATTTAAATTCCATTACTCTTTCACGGTAAAATTCTGTATTAAAATTGGAATTTCTGGAAAATGAACTTTGTTCATTCTGCGGCTTTGAGTAATCCTTGAAACATTGCATAAAATCCTGTTACTAACTGTGCTTCAAGACAGAGGAAATAGTTACATATTCGATATTTTTTTGTACACTATTAACTTGAGTGAGACTGTTTACATTTGCTATGTCTTATTCACAATAAATTTACAGAGAATATATCTCCTTTTTACAGAGTATGAATAGGAGCCTTAACTTGTTTAACTAACTTTCTCAAACGTAAATACAAGAAACTGGCCAATGATTCCTTTTGAAACAATATTAGATGTTTTACATAGGCAAGACTTAAAGGCTGCATATGAAGTTAATAAATTTTAGACCCTGAAAATGTTCACAACATCAGAAAAATGTTTAAAAAAACAAAAGATGAAAAAATAATATGTAGACTTACCCTTCTCTTTCTCTAATACTCTTTCCTCATTGGTGGTTGGCGACTGGGTACTCCAGGCTTTCCTGAGGCAGAGCACTGTGTGGGTCACAGCTCTGGGAATCTCACTGTCCACAAGAGAATGTCATGTCAGAAATGGAAATCCTTCTTAAATACATAGGGAAGCTCTGTGTATGTAGTAATTTGACAGCAGATTGTAACATTGAAAATATAATTCAGAGATGACTAAAAACAAAGGCATTTAATTCAGCCTCTTTGAATTTTATTTACCGTTAGCCTTTGATTTTCAAGTATCCTTAAAACCACACAGTCACGTTCACGCCATGACTAACATTTTAAAAAAAATACAATAAAAATCTATGGCTGGAACTTTTATTCTCCTTGAGTATTGGAATGAATTATACATATAAACTTCTTATACCGATAAAGTTATGTATGTATATATATGCATATAAAATATTCTCTTGTCTCAGGTTTGAAATGACTAAAGTTACTAACACATTAATTTAGAAAGAACACAGATGGATTTGTCAACTTTCCTAACACCAATAGACCTGGCTTTCCTTTGGGTGCCTGTCTCTTCCTAGGGATTTATGTTCCTGGTCAAGTCACTTTCTCATTTCTGCTTTGCTTCTTCCAGCCAAACCCATAGAAATGAAGGAAATAGTCTTTTGATTTCAAGTATGAAAGATCTAGGCTGTTCTCATATTAGATGGAAACTTACAACACCTGAACGTTAGCTAGTAAGAACAGTTTCCTGTAATTTAGTATTTACTGGAAGCATTGTGTGCCATGCCATCCTCCTGATGTTTGTAGCAGGCCTTGTACAGACTGTTATCAAATAACACTTTTTTCTTGATATGTCTCTTTGAGCTTCAGTGTTTGGATAATCAAGAGAGTCTCAGCCTTTAGGTAGTTGACCCTGTGATAAGTACATCCTGTGAACTACCCAAATAAGGAGGAAAACGAAGGCAGCTGAGCCATGGGATGCCATATAAAAATCACTTAAACCAGTCGCCACTTCTTGTTTCCCGAGTCGTCCTGTGCTGGAGGTCTGCCCAGATGGTCTCCATGGCTTTAGAAGTCTTGATGCTCCTTGCTCTCTTGATCTGGACTGGTGCTGAGAACCTCCATGGTAAATAACAAGTTTTAGAGAATGCTTCCTTGAAGGAGTTAATCATAATGATCGCTTTCCATGCAGGCGTTTTACTCCCTGAAGAAATCCGATCTTATTCTAACTGGCTAGAAGAAGAAATGCTTTCAGGCCAGGTAGACTTGTGTCAATATACGGAGGATACCTTTTCTCTTTCTGCCTCAATGTCCCGGTTCTCAGACTTTTATTTGTCTCTCTCTGTTTTGGTCTTCTATCTTGAGACTCATTTGCAGAGGTTCTTCAGGAATAGTCCTTTGCTCTCTTTCAGTCTAACGTTTCAAACCCACTGCGAATTACTGGTGCTTGATTGTATCATATTGTAAGGTACTCAGTTGCCTCTTGGCTGATCTTCCTACTTCCAGACTCATGTTTTTGCTTGATGCTGATATTATTGCTGTTTTGTTCCCTTAAAAAGACTGCTCTGAACTTCACTCATGTTAAACTCATCAACTGTTCTGCAAAGTTAATAGAAGAAAGCTAAGTCAGCGAGTTGCTGTCTACAAGTTGATTCCAATGTATCTTTTCTGTTTTGCCTGGAATCCAAATGCTTGCCAGCTCCAAGGCCTGACTAAATGTAATCTGTAAAGTAGCATTTCAATATTACTTTTTATGTTCTTTACCGTTTCTTTTTGCAGACATCTCTCTGTTTTTAAAATTTGAAATGGAGTTTTTCTTTGAAACTGATATGTCAATTTCTTACCCATTTGGCCTGTAACACCTTTGGAAGCGAAGACCACATATCGCTTCTGATGTTTTTCCATTTTACCTAAGATGAGTTTTAAGAATGCCTAGATCAGTGCAGCTCCCCACCTAACAGTTAATTACTGAAATGAACAGCACATGGAGAGAAAGAGCGACCATGAATTCTGGCTATCTAGGGTGGGTAGGGTGTTGAGTCCCTGTCTTTCATGAAGCCCGAGCAAAGGAAGATTGTGCTGCAGTGAAAGTATCTATGTGTGTTTCTCAGGCTTTTCTCAGCTATTTGAGAGAATGTCAAACTAAAACTCGAGTTTCTGGCCAGGCACGGTGGCTCACACCTGGAATCCTAGCACTTTGGGAAGCCCGGACGGGAGCATCACCAGAAGTCAGGAGTTTGAGACCAGCCTGGCCAACATAGTGAAACCCCGTCTCTACTAAAAATACAAAAAGTAGCCTGGTGTGGTGGTGGGCATCTGTAATCCCAGCTACTTGGGAGGCTCAGGCAAGAGAATCACTTGAACCCAAGAGGCAGAGCTTGCAGTGAACCAATATCACACCACTGCCCTCCAGCCTGGGTGACACAGTGAGACTCTGGTCTCAAAAAAAAAAAAAAAAAGCAAAACTCCGTCTCAAAAACAAACAGGCCAGGCGCGGTGGCTCACGCCTGTAATCCCAGCACTTTGGGAGGCCGAGGTGGGTGAATCACGAGGTCAGGAGATCGAGACCATCCTGGCTAACACGGTGAAAACCCGTCTCTACTAAAAATACAAACAAAAACAAAAACAAAAACAAAAACTGGCTTGGCGGCAGGAGTCCCAGCTACTCAGAGGCTGAGGCAGGAGAACGGCGTGAACCCAGGAGGCGGAGTTTGCAGTGAGCCGAGATTACACCACTGCACTCCAGCCTGGGCGACAGAGTGAGACTCTGTCTAAAAAAAATAAAAAATAAAAAAAAACAACCCCCAAAACTCGACTTTCTAAGGTTAGTGTGAAAAAAATGCAGTGAAATCATAAGTATGGGCTTTCTGTGTGTCCATGTCCACTTATCCTTTCCATCCATCTTTAATCTTAGCTGCTGGAATTTATTTTCCTTTAGGAAGGACCTTCCTGACCATCTTTCCTAGGTGATGTGAGAACAGTATTTCAAACACATAGAGAATCGTGATTTAAAGGTTATGAGGCAAGAACACTTGCCTCCTCTACTCCTTTTCTGAAATGTGCATTGTCTTACCTTGTTGATTTCTCTCTAAAGGCGGGACTTCCAAGCTCCAGTGGTGGTGGAGTCCTCTGTGGCCACTTGCTCATTAATAATATAAATATGTACTTCTTAATGCTGAAAAGACTCAGTTCCTCCAAATGAATCTATTGCAAATAATGATTATTATTGACTTACGATTTAAATAAAGAGGATAAAGATGGCTTTTACAACAAAACTTGCATGGAGCTAACATCCCAGATAAAGGGCTTTCTCTCTCTTTTTCCTTTTATGGCTGAGATTGTTTCTGGTACTGGCTGCTCTAGACATGAATTCTACTGTTCTAGAACCACCCTTTCTCCTCTTTCTCTTTCCAAAAAGTACACTGGGATGCTATCACTTTTATTCTAATACACTGCAATTCACTTCTGCCCCCTATGTTTTGTCCTAAATAGATCACCCTCCATGGAATATAACTTATTTAGGAGAAATTAAGGGGCTATACAGTTATGCTTTTTTTTTTTTTTCCTTTGGAATCTCGCTCTGTCACCCAGGCCTGGAGTGCAATGGCGAGATCTCAGCTCACTGCAAGCTCCGCCTCCCGGGTTCACACCATTCTCCTGCCTCAGCCTCCCGAGTAGCTGGGACTACAGGTGCCCGCCACCACACCCGACTAATTTTTTTGTATTTTTAGTAGAGACGGGGTTTTACCGTGTTAGCCAGAATGGATCTCGTGATCTGCCCACCTCCGCCTCCCAAAGTGCTGGGATTACAGGCATGAGCCACTGTGCCCGGCCCAGTTATGCTTTTTCTTACTCTTGAATGTTCATCTTCCCACCTCCCCCATGAAATTACTGAAATCTAGTTACTTGGGGACATAATTAGATATTTTGGAAAATAATCTTAATAATGTTTATAAGAAAACCTTTAAGCCATGGTTACCCTTGCCAGAGAAATAAATGCCTTTTATTTATCACAAAGGACAGAATTGACTATTCTTTGAACACTTTCTTAAGATAGACATACTTCTGATGCTTTTCATATGGTTCTTTCCACAGTGAAAATAAATTGCTCTCTGGACTGGTTGATGGTGTCAGTTATCCCACTTGCAGAAAGCAGAAATCTGTATATATTTGCGGATGAATTACATCTGGGAATGGGCTGCCCTGCAAATTGGATACATACATATGTATATGAGTTTATATATCTTGTTCATGATTGTGGCATCAGGACAAGGGTGAGAACAGTGATTGTTTGTAAAAATACTAAATGTTTTGTCAGACTTTCATGCCTAATATTAAAATTGTCTTTTAAAAATCTAATCCTTGCTTCTCGTTGTAGTAATTTATGAGCAGAGGACAACGGAATTTCTCATTATTTCTCACTAAATATTGGGTCATTCTGTGTGCACAGGACCTTAGATCACAGATTTATAGACTGGCTAGTGAACTGATTCTAAGCTGCCTTTAGGCTACTACTATATTTTACTAAATATTAGCAGACTGCTTTAAATTTTATTTAATTCTTCTAATGTAGGAGGTCACCAATCTTGGGAAGCTCTATCATGTCCAATGTTAGGTAATTTGAAATCTCTCCATGTTCCATGAGGATTTGTGTCAACATATATGTGGATTTTCATTGAAATGAAATCTCTTGTTTGTTCTTCAGCTAGGCACAAATCCTAAACTGCGTTGTTATCCTGGGATATTATCTTCTCATAGATTCCCAAATTTAAACAATTTATATTCACACTACACAAATATTTTGGGCCAGTGACCAATGATAATGATCATTTTTGAATAAGGTATTTTATTTTAGAAATTAGGAACTCGGAGCTTCAGAAGGTGCTTTACCAAGTTTTCCTTGTTGGTGGTAGTTTAGATGCCAAACCAGGATGAATACTCTCCAAAGCTTGTGCTTTAAACCACTCTGTTATTTGACTTACAAATCACCTTTCTCAAAAGAACTGTTGGACACCTTTTCATTAATGAATCATAAAAATGGCTGTAAGTGGCAGTTTAAATTTGCTGCAATGAATTAAGACTGTTTTGTCCCCAGGCATTTTAAATTCACTCTTCAGGATAACGGTCCTCTTCTGTCCCAGTGAGTGGTCAGATCTTCATTTATACCTAAGAATGACACTAGCCATTTTTGAGATTGTGAATGTTTTTTACATCCTATTCATGTGTGTGTATTCCTCCTCTGTTACTCCAAATATCTTCCACTGAAATTTTGTGCTCTCCTAGGTCATTTCTGAGGAAACTCTCCTTTTTCAAACCGAGCTATACTTTACCCCAAGGAATATAGATCACAACCCCGAGGAAATCCATCTGGAGTGTTCTGCCTCTAGGTAAGTCCAGCAGATCTGATTCCTTTAGAATGTTTTAGCTTTACCTTTGCTTATGAGAAGCTTCTGCAGAAGCATAGATTTTAGAGAATATAACACGATTCACCCATAATTGTAAACAAAGCCCAAATTAGTATTTACACAAATATTTTAATGAATACTTTAAAATGTTTTCACATTTTAAATGCAATGTTTATTTTAGAATAAAAACATAGAGATTTATAATGGTCCTAACAGACAATCTAGTGTAACTAGGTCATTTTATAATAACTACAAAGCAGAGTCATTAAATACTCAGTCACCTTTAGTAAGTGATACAATTAAGCATTGAGACTATCTTTCAATGTTTTGTCCTTTATAATATTTTTTTCTGATATATTTTATTGCTCAATTTCATCTTGTAAGAGTAAGTGGCTAAAAATGTAAGAAAACCAATCCTTCATTTGATGCTAACTCATGGAGAATTCATGAAGGAAGGGCTTATCAGCCTAATCATTAAATGTACTTTGCTTGCAATTTTGTGGAACTGAGATATTGAATCCTAAGAGCTTCGTGTGAACTTTAAGACTAAGTGAAAAGGTATCCTGATACACTTTTGTTTTTTCACCATGCCATTGAAATATTTATGTTTTATAAATCTAAGTGATGAATCTTGGAAACTATCTCAAACCACAGGACAAATTTTATCCTTGCTTAATATATGGAAATAGTTGACATCACAGTAAGAATTTAGAGCTTAGCCAATGTGCAATGTCTTTTAATGTGATTATAGTACTTTTTTTCAGGGGGAGGCAGAATTTTTTTTTAAGTTTGGTAAAACATACATAATATAAAATACATTTTAAGTGTACAGTTCAGTCCTATTCAGTTCAGAAGATATTTGGAGTAACAGGGGAAGAATACATACACGTGAATAGGATGTAAATGGCATTAAGTCCGTTCACATTGTTAATACTTTTACTCGTCCCTTTAACTTATTTTCATAAAGGCTGAGGGGTTTAGTGATATTCTAGAAAGTAGTTGAACTCTAAATAGAAACCACCCCTTGATTCTCTGTCTCTCTCTCTCTCTCTCTCTGTCTCTGTCCCTGTCTGTCTCTGTCTCTCTGGTCTGTTCCTGTCTCTCTGGTCTGTCTCTCTGTCTCTCGCTCTCTCTCTCGCTCTGCCTCTCTCTTGCTCTCTCTCTCGCTCTGCCTCTGTCTCTCTCACTCTGCCTCTCTCTCTGTCTCTCTTGCTCTGCCTCTCTCTCTCTCTCTCACTCTGCCTCTCTCTCTCTCTCTCTCGCTCTGCCTCTCTCTCTCTTGCTCTGCCTCTGTCTCTCTCT